GTCTCATCGTTTGCACGGTAAGGAGTAGAGTAAACTCTATATCTGTGTACTTTGAGCTCAAATAAACGTTTTTGAAATAAGAAGAGATGAAAGAAAAAAAAAGGAACAGAGTGCCGCCAAGAGGAGTCGAACCCTCGAGCTGACCCGGCGACCCTCAGCTTTCCAGACAGACACTTTACCAATAGGCCACCGGCGCTTCGTCTGAGCTCCGAGAAAAAAGGGTCTAAGAAGCGTTGCGCTAACTTTCTCGCGTACTCGATTTATTTCTTTTCCTGCTGAAGCTTATTTACAAAAAAAGGCATAAATTGAGTGCCCCAGAAAGGTTGTGTTTACGAATTTAAGCGCAAAGTGAACCCTAAAACTTTTATTTAGACACTTGGTGCCGCTTTTGAAGTGCTTGCGATCTACACAGACTTTGCTAGTGGCTGGAAAGTTTTCCTTTTAGTCTATGCAACGTATTTTTGTACTATTATGGTAAGTTGAAGATTTTAGATAAACTATTAGTTGAATAAAGCTAGCTATGAATGCTTAAACTTTTGTAAAAACTTTAGTTCTTCCTCGTGCTTTACGGAATATGTCGTAGGATGTATCGAAAAGTGTTTAAGAAGAGATATTCAACGATAGAGGATAGGTAGAGTAATAAAATATTGTATTAGAATGATGGAGAATAGGGTTACAGTCTTATTTTAACTGTTAGAGAGATAAAGAATAAGGCTACAGTAGTATTTTACCTATTAGAATGATAAAGAATAGGGTTACAGTAGTATTTTAACTGTTAGAATGATAAAGAATAAGGTTACAGTCTCATTTTAACTGTTAGAGTGAGGAAGAATAAGACTACAGTCTTATTTTAACTGTTAGAGAGATAAAGAATAAGGCTACAGTAGTATTTTACCTATTAGAATGATAAAGAATAGGGTTACAGTAGTATTTTAACTGTTAGAATGATAAAGAATAAGGTTACAGTCTCATTTTAACTGTTAGAGTGAGGAAGCGAATAAGACTACAGTCTTATTTTAACTGTTAGAGAGATAAAGAATAAGGCTACAGTAGTATTTTACCTATTAGAATGATAAAGAATAGGGTTACAGTACTATTTTAACTGTTAGAATGATAAAGAATAAGGCTACAGTCCTATTTTAACTGTTAGAATGATAAAGAATAGGGTTACAGTACTATTTTTAGATCATAAATCCACTTCAATCTCATTTTCCAGATACAGAACCCAAGAGAACTATAAAGCGTCCCGATTATTGCTCTACTTGGCTCCATATAAGGTATACTGTACCTAAAAATTATCCATGACTTAGAAAAGAAAACTGGATATGGATAAAAGACAAGTTTTCTAAAGCCTGGATAATTCTAAAGCTAAAGCCGGCTCGTGCTTTGAACTTGAGCTAGGTAAATGCACGCTTTCTGGCACACTGCCTTGCTCAAATGCCTGGCTCACACAGCATCAAATTTTTGGCGTAGATTTTGAGTAGTTTTATGCTTAAAATACGATTCAGTGCGTGACGAGCATAGCGATTTGTTTCCTCTACGAATTCGGTGTTGATGGAGATCCTTACAAACAAACTTTCTTCACTTTCATCTTTTTCTACTCACTACAAATCCAGGTATTCTATAGATTCATTCAAAGATTCTTGATCGAGACAATCAACAAAATCTTTGAACTTGAAAGAACTTGAAAGAATTTGAACTTGAACTTGAACTTGAACTTGAACTTGAACTTGAAACAAATCCTTGAGAATATCTATCTACAGATTCTCATGGAAATAATGAACAAGTGAAAAGTACAGAAAAGTACAGAAAAGTATAGAAAAGTACAGAAAAGTACAGAAAAGTATAGAAAAGTATAGAAAAGTAAAACAGGAAAGGAGGAACGAGTTCCCATGTACTTGTATCCATTGATGATATCATAAACATAGATACTACATAGTTTAACATTTGCAAGAGTTTTTTTAAGTCTAGACTTACAATTGCTTGTAGTAGTAGAAGTAGATCTAGAAAGTAGAAAGTAGATCTAGAAAGTAGAAAGTAGAAAGAGTAAAGCTTGCTGCTGATTGGCCAACCATTAGCCAGTGATTCCAACCATTAGCCAGTGATTCCAACCATTAGCCAGTGATTCCAACCATTAGCCAGTGATTCCAACCATTAGCCAGTGATTCCAAAATGCTACTTCTCAGTGAACAAGTGTTCAAATGCGATTTTTCTAGGTCAGGTAAGGTCAACTGTATCCTAGAGATTAGAGCTTGGCCTAGTCTAGGCTAGGCCAAGCTCTAATCCCTGGGATACAGTTACCGTAGTTGTGCTAAATCCCTGGCCTGTCAGAAGCTAGGCTTGACCTGACTTACAAATTGTAGGACTTGGGCTGGTCCTTGAGCGTAAGGTGATCGTTGCTTTTGGCTCCTGATCCTATTTCCATTCATTTCCATTTTTCATTCATTCTTTCTCATTTTCACTCAATCATTACAATGAAATTAGATAAAATCTATGAAATTCTACAAAATATCTACGAAATATCTACAAAATTATCCATTTATGATTTCATAAACATATACAGGGTGCGGCAGAATTATAGGTGCATGACATAAAGACGGAAAACGAGCCTTCGCTCTTGATTTTGCACTCGAATTTATGTTTTTGTTGTTATTTTATGATTGAATTTGTATTTGTAAATTATAATTTTTTATAACTTTGAGTTTCAGGCTATGGTTCGCGCTTCCCCGCATCGACAATTGATCGTGGAACTTCATCGGAAGGGCGAATCGGCGACCGTGATCGGAAGAAAGTTGGGAATGCATCGAAACGTTGTTAACCGAGCCATTCAACGCACAACGAGTTGGGATCAATGTCTGACGGCCGCGAGGAGGTGTTCGTCCATCCGTGGTGACGAAAGGCAACATCAAGAAGGCAGGATCGCCTGCGAAAGAAGCCCAATCAGTCCGCTCGAAGAATTGCCAAACATATGGGTGTATCCGATCGATCAACCGTCGAATTATCAAGGACAAGCCAAGTTCAAGCCCACAAGAAGAACAAACCGCTCTGCTTTCGGCAGACGCCAAATTGAAGAGAAGAGATCGATGTGAAAGCCTTCGTCTCGTTTCAACGGAACGACCACAGGAACATTTTGTTCACCGATGAGAAAATTTTTACGATGAAGGAATTCTGAACAAGACGACGAGTTTGGTCGAAAACTCAACCAAATGTTACCGTCGGTCGCAGCGGCCACCCAGCTCAGTCATGGTTTTGGCGGGGACGGCTTCCGGCAAGACACCACTGATTTTGTGCCACAAGGAGTCAAAGAAGCGAAACGACTTGGAATGCTAAAGAAAGAACTTGTTCCCTGGGCTCAAAATCACTTCCAAAATCGCATCTGGACCTCCAGCAAGATGGTGCCCCGCTCACAAAGCCAAGATTGTTCAGGATTTCTGCCAAGCGACTTTTCCCGACTTCATTGCATTCAACGAGTGGCCCCCAAGCTCCCCAGACCTCAATCCATTGGATTTCTCGGTCTGGTCTGTTCTTGAAGCCGAGGCTTGTCAGAAACCTCACAAAAACCTCGAAAGTTTGAAGAAATCTCTCTTGAAAGCCTGGGAGGGTCTGGACGCCGCCTACTTGGTCGCCACGGTCGACGCCTTTCCCAAGCGACTCAAGTATTGCATCGACGCCAAAGGAGGAAGATCGAATATGATCAATAAAAGTTGTTAATTTAAGTTCAATAAATATGTTAAAACTGTTTTTGTGGCAAATTTTTCGTTTTTTGGTCATATTCCAATGGAACTTCTCTACATCTATAATTCTGCCGCACCCTGTATACTACATAATTTAACATTTGAAAGAGTTTCTAGACTCGTGTACATCTCCCTTTACATGATTTTCCTTTTTTCACACGCTTTTTTTAAGCAATTAGTGCAAAAAGTGAACATTTGTGGGAGTTTGAACGGAAAGATTTCCTTTCTGAATGTCTAGAACGACAAAGAAAACTAGAGTCTAATGAAATTGTGTTCATAAAATTATTTTCATAAAATTCTGTCATCAATTTTTCAGATCTTTGTTCAAATGTTTGTCACGATTTTTGCCGAGCCAAATCTTCGACGCCAGTTTTTGCGGATCATTCGGCTACGGACGAAAGTCTGTTCTGAGAAACCTAATAATGATAACAGGACCATTTCAATGCAGCTAAACTTACGCCAAAAATTGATCCCAAAAATTCGGGCATACCGACGGGGGAAGCCGGCTAGCCCATCCACCGTTCCCTTTCCTGTAACCCGTCCCATCAGGAAACACCTATCTATTGGCGACGTGTGCCGGAAGGCGAGCGATTACGTAGTAAGAACATAGCCAAGTCTAAGCTAGAAATGATGCTAAAAAATTGAGCACAGTGACGCTCCAAATCGAAAAAATGACTCAGTTCCCGATCGCTCTCTAACTTGGGTAACTGAACCGGCAAGTAGAGAGGCTTCCCAAATCTTACCCCAGCGCCCTTTGCCAGATGGACAGCGATTGTGCGCGCGCACAAAGAACACCTCCTCATTCAAACAGGGATTCTTCTTTTGCTTTGTAAATGGCCCAAAAAAAGAGGTTCCAGCTGAAAATTTGTACCCGAGGGTTTTCGGTGTCAAGAAATCGATTAGAACTATTCATTTTATTCATTCTACCAACTGGAACTAAGATTAATTGATTGAAAGTGGTTATTCTTTGTCTACAGTACTTTGCAATGCAATAATAACGATCTGTAGTAAGGCAGGGGGAATTTTATCGTACCTTACCGTACCGTACCGTACTCCTTTCCAGGTCACTCCCGAATTGGTGGTCCGGAATGCGAAAGGTGAACGAATGGTGTTTAGCAATGCCGAAAGTGAAGATATCTACTTCAAACAGTTTGACATCATGTGGAGAACGGGAAAGAAATAAAAATTTATAAATGAATAAAACTTTAGAACTTGTTGGCTTTCAGTTACGATGTTTGGCTTCAAATTGGCGCTGGTTATAACCTA